TAGGACTAACAAATGAATTCAGCAAAGTAGCAGGATATAAACTTAATACCCATAAATCAAATTCGTTTCTATACATCAGTGATGAATCTACTGAAAGAGAAATTAGCAAAGCTACCTCATTCACAATAGCCTAAAAAAATAAAATAAAATACTTGGTAATCAACCTAACAAAATAGGTGAAGGACCTCTACAATGAAAACTACGGATCACTACAGAAAGAAATTGAAAGAAAGCCTTAGAGGATGGAAAGACCTCCCATGCTCCTTGATAGGCAGAATTAATATTGTCAAAATGGCCATACTGCCAAAAGCATTACACAGATTCAATACAATTCGTATTAAAATCCCAATGACATTGTTCAGAGACTAGAAATAGCAATCATAAAATTCATTTGGAAAAATACAAGACTCAGAATAGCCACAGCAATCCTTAGCAAGAAAAATGAAGTAGGAGACATCACAATACCAGACCTTAAATTACACTACAGAGCTATAGAAACAAAACAGCATTATATTGGCACTGAAACAAACATGTAGACCAATGGTACAGAATAGAAGACACAGAGACAATCCCACATAAATACAGTTATCTTGCACTAGACAAAGGTACCAAAAACATTCACTGGAGAAAAGATAGCCTATTCAACAAATGATGCTGGGAAAATTAGAAAGTCACATGTAACAAAGTGAAATTGAACCTCTATCTGTCACCCTGCACAAAACTCACCTCAAAGTGGATCAAAGACTTAGGCACTAGAACAGAGACCCTATGCCCCATAGAAGAAAAAGTAGGCACAAATCTTCACCATATCAGCCTTGTATCTGACTTCCTAACAAGAATCTTAAAGCTCAAGCTATAAAATCAAGAATCAATAAATGAGATAGATTTATTGATTTATTAAGCTTCTTTTCAGCAAAAGAAACAATCAGTAATGTGAAGAGAGAGCCTACAAATTAGAAGATAATCTTTACCATATGCATCTTGGATAAAGCATTAATCTCTAGGACATATAAAGAATTAAAAATACTTAACACCAAAAAAATCCAAATAACCCAATCAATAAATGGGCTAAGGAACTAAACAGACACTTCACAGAAGAAGTAATACAATTGATCAACAAATATATAAAAACATGTTGAACATCTCTAGCAACTAGAGAAATACAAATCAAAATTAAGATTTCATCTCACTCCAGTCAGAATGGGAATTATCAAGAATATAAGCAACAATAAATGTTGGAGAGGATGCGGGGGGAAAAAGGTACATTTGTACTTTGCTGGTGGGAATGCAAATTGGTGCAACCATTATGGAAAGCAGTATGGAGATTCCTCAGAAAACTTGGAATGGAACCACCATTTGAACCAGCTATCTCACTCCTCAGTTTATACCCAAAGGAGTTAAAATCAGCCTACTATCAAGATGCACTCACATCCATGTTTATAGCAGCTCACCTCACTATAGCTAAACTATGGAACCAACCTAGGTACCCTTCAATAAATGAGTGGATAAAGAAAATGCGGCATATATATATGATGGGATATTACTCAGCTTTAAAGAAGAATACAGTTATGGCACTTGCTGATAAATGGATGGAGTTGGAGAATATCATGCTAAGTGAAATAATCCAATCCCAAAAAACCAAAGGCTGAATGTTTTCTCTGATATGTGGATGCTTATTCACAATGGTTGTGGCACGGGGGTGGGGGGTGAGGCTAGGGAAGAATAGAGTTATTTTAGGTTGGGTAGAGAGGAGTGAAGGGAGGAGAGGGGGTATAGGGGTAGGAAAGACAGTAGAATGAAACTGATATTATTACCTTATGTACATATGTGACTGCATGACTGATGTGATTCTACAACATGTATAATCAGAAAAGTGTAAAATTATACTCCATTTATGTTTGATATATCAAAGTGCATAAATGCATTCTACTGTCACGTGTAACTAATTAGAACAAATTAAAAATGCTAAAAAAAAAAAAAGATGTAGCTGGAGTTTTTACAAAACCAGACAGTTCAGGGCTGGAAAACAAATCTACATTCAGTCAGGATTCTGAGGAAGTGGTCTTTGGGTCACTCCTGACATGGTGCTCTCTACCAACAGGTGCACTTTGCTACACTGCTCCTGGCTTGATGCCCACAAAAATGCAGGCAGAGAAATAGATGCACATATGTGAACTGAACTGAATTGTTTTCAGTGGCTGGAAGACAGAGGTGGAGGCACCAGCTCAAACTCTTACCCTCTTACCTTCTACCTTCTATCCTGACCACACTAGGGAGGACAGCTATCCCGACCTCTGCAGGGACCAAGTGGTGGGCTTCTGGTGCAGATGACCTGGGAGAGCTCTCCAGAGGGTGGATTTGCACTGCTGCTGAGCATCAGGAAGTCTATGGCATGTGTCCTGCTGGGTCTGCCAAGCTCCTTCCCAGAAGTAAGTAGAGAGAAAGAATTTGGCCTTTGGGTATAATCTGGGTATTTAATCCTCTTTCCCACATTCTCCTAATGTGCTACATTGGGCAAGCTCCTGAGTTTGGTAACTCCTTGTTGAGGTGAGAAAACTCCATGCGATTGTAAGAGGACTACAAGAAGTGAAATATGTATGCACTCCACATAGTCACAGGCACAGACTAGTGTTCACCAAGTTGGCTGAATTGATACACTGGCCTGACCAGAAATGAGGATGGTCGGAAATGACAATCTCTACATTCTTTTTAAGAATGAGGTGTGCTTTCTTAATGGCTTGAGCTTCCAGAGTGTGATGGGTGTTCTCTACTGCTTTTGTTCACTGTTCTCTCAGTGTCTTTGTGTAGAGAATCACTCCCTCCTACCACCCTGTGGGTGACATGGGGGCACTGCCATGGGAACCTCTGGAGGACATGGAAACTGAGTCAGAAGTTGTTAGCCCCAGTGAACTCTCACCACCCTTGCTTGGGAAGAGATGGGGGCATTGGCTTGGAACAAAGCTCTTTCCCAGAAAACAGGGACAGGGCATGACTGAGCAGTCGACACCGTGGGGAGGGTACAAAGGAGCCTGGAGACACAGAGCCATGGGAGTCACATTAGAGGATCAGCTTTCCTTGACTAAGAGCTGCAATACCCAGGTAGGCAAAGAAGAGGCAGGGAGCTAGCACAGCACTGAATGCTAGAGGACCTCTAAATAGAGGAAGTGGGAGAGAGGGGATAGAGCAGGGCAAGGTCATGCCTTGCTCGGATTCATCTGGCCTGGGAGAGATGTGGAGCTTTCATCTGAGATGGGGCTTGTCTCTCTCAATCTGAAAGCTTAGTAATGGAAAGTTGGGACAGGGGTCAGGGCACAGAGGAGGCTGGCTGGGTCTCAGTTAAACTCTAGGGCTGGGGTGCTCCTCCGTTGCTAAAGACTTCAATTCCTTTTGTCAGGAACAAGGACATATTAGGAATCTTTAAGGGAAATGAGTTCAATGGTTTGGAGCAGGGCTTGCTTCTTGTTTCCTAATGGCTTCATCTAAATATCTCTAGGAGCTCCTGTCACTGTTGGTATCCAAGGAGTTCCTGAAAGGAGAAACACCCACAATTCCCTCTCCTCTACCCCAAACTCTGCTGGGTGCTAGGGCCAGATCCTGCACCAGAGGGTCTCTGGAGAGTCAGGGAGAGTGTTGGGGACTGCTGCTCAAGCCCTGCTGCTCAAGCCACTGGTCTTTGTCCAGCATCAGTGGAAGAAGCTGCAGAAGGTAGAAGTGGGGAGGAGAGTGAAGTGATGCAGTCTGTCTCCCACCAGTGTCCTGGATGAGCTGTGGCCCTCTGCAGAGTGCCAGATCATGAGGGTGGGGCTTCTTTATCCAGGTCTCTGCAGGCCAGGTTTGAGTAGTTCTTCCCTCAGGTTTGCTCTTGGATTCAGAGACTGCACCATCCCTATGGCTTCTCCTAAATCCAGCCCACACCTTTGCAAATATCCCTTTTATTAAACTATTATATCCCCATTTGAGGGTGTTTCCAGCTCAGATTATGACCAACAATGGGGTGGTCTTTCTCCAGGATTCTCACAGATGTTTTGGGTTAAGTCCCTCTTGCAAGTAGGGGCTTTAGCAGATTGATTACAATTGTGTCCCTGAACTACCCAGCTATGGCTTTGGGTACCTCCCATCACCTAAGATTCACTTTTCTCATTTTTCCCTATAAAATGGGGACAATAAATGGCCCCTCCTTTGTGATTTGTTATGTAGATTAAATGATGGTCAGGTACCAAATGTTGGCAAAGACTTGGCTCAGTGACCTTGACCTGGCTTCTGCTAGCCTCCAACCCACCTCCTCTAAATCTCTTCCCACTGTCAGAAGGTGAAGTGGAACAGGCCTCTGTAGAGGCAGCTGTCAGCTATCCCAGGCCCTGATGAATGAATAAGTGTTAAATCATTAATGTAGCTGGAAGCAGCCTAAGAGAATCAGCACAGCCCACAATGTGCCCATATGTGAACAGACGATTGTTGCCTCTGAACTAACACTATGGCTAAATGACAGTCCTCCTGAACCAAACCCCACCAACTCACTGCCTTTCCCAAAATTAAGTACAAATTGGCTTTTAGTTTGAGCTTTTAGAAGCATCTCCTAAAATGTGTGATTATAGCCCAGCCTTAGTATTTCATGCTGTGTGGACAGGCCTCTCCCTCAGTGATTCAGGTCAAATTAAATAGGAATTCCCAGACAGACCCTAATAATAAAAATTATCCTTATTAAGTCAGTGCTGCCACCACTACTTCTGTTTAGATTCTGTGTTTTTGTTTTTGCTTTTAAATCTCTTAAGCAATGGTCCAAATAATGAATGAGAAGAAGACAATTTCCCTATTTTCTGCAGATAGGGTGTCCCTCAGGGTGGAGCCAAAGATCTACTGGAGCAACAGATGAAGGGGCCTTACCCTGGGAGAAATCCAGAGCCCTGTCTGATACTTCCAGTGAGTCAGGTCCCCAAATGCTTCTGCCAGGCTGGAGGAAGCCCTGCACAATTTGGATCCTAGTTAATACCAAGATGAGAAAGAGTGAACTTGTTTATTGCTTATTACCAGGAGACACTTTGTCCTCATACAGGGTTGACAGTTTCTGAGTTCTGTACCTGGATTCCCAGACTCACCATAATGTGGTGATAGGATCCTGCTCATGGAGGTTAACTGGAGACTGTTGCCTAGCTCTGGGGACTATACCCATATGAGAATGTTCAGCCCTGATAAACAGCTCAAAGGAAAATACTAACCCTGTTCCCCCAAATCCTGGGATTTGGGAAGGCAGAGGATCTCTTCTTGAGAAACAGTCTGGTTTTTGGAAGGAAGGAAGGAAGGAAGGAAGGAAGGAAGGAAGGAAGGAAGGAAGGAAGGAAGGAAGGAAGGAAGGAAGGAAGGAAGGGTACCAGAGCAGAGCATAATAGAAAAGTTGCATGGAGACCAGGGACCTGTGGGAAAGCTGAGGAGAAGAGCCAGTGGACTAGGATACCCAGTTCAGGCTCAGGGTTGGCCTGCAAGTCCGGGAGCCAGCCACTTGTTATGCATCCAGCTGCTTCTGTTCAGAAGGTCCCCCAGACAGCAGTCCCTGACTCCTGGAAGTCATTTCCTGAAGCTGATAATGAAGATGACGCACTTGGAAGCTTGGTAACTCGGGCGTGGGGTTGGGGTGGGAGTAGGACATGGGGGCCGATCATTCATTCCAAACCCTGCAGCAGCGCTCATCTCCTGAACCGGACACAGGGCGGGGCGCAGAGGCAAGGAACCCAGAGGCCACACCAAGAGGCGAGTGCTTCTCTCTGCAGAGCCTGAAAGGTCTGCTGGGGCCCGGGACTGCTGAGCGATGAAGCCCCGTGCTGTGATAAAAGGGAGCAGAGGAATCTGTCTTTGTCTCTGCTGCCCTTGGTACTGACGACCTTGAGGAGCCTCTGGTTTCTCCTGTCCCAGATTGGTTTCCATGGGAACCAGAGTGGCAGAAAAACCACTTTGCTGAGGTGAAATGCCCCAGGATGCCATGAGTACCTAGGGGGAAAACCACCAGAAAAAAATAAAGCATCTAAGAAATTACCCTGCCGTGCGCTTCCTCATAGCAGGAACCATCTCCTCTGAAGTTTCAGTTCTTTAATTTTATGTCCCCAGGTTAGATTAGGCTGCAGATGATTCTCATAGTCCTCTGAATTTTTGTTATTTAAATAGTACTGTCTTGTGTCTGGCAGGTGTATGATGATTGCTTATTACATGAATTCTTGCGTGAGGATTGGGCCTTGATAAAAGTAAGCAATTTAATGTCCTCTTGATAAATCCAGGTAACAACATATGGCTTTTTGAGTTCTAGTCTTTCTCTGGATTTGCCACCTGAAAAAGTAACATCATGACAGAGTCACAAACTGCTGCAGATAAGTTTTATTTGAATTTATCAGGAGAGAGAGAGAGAGAGAGAGAGAGAGCGAGAGAGAGAGAGAGAGAGAGAGAGAGAGCGCACAAATGGCATAGTTAAGAGTGGTCACTTACAACTAAGCTGATCTAACTGGACTTTTTAGAGGGGACCATGGGCAATACAAGAGGATGCTGGACAATGGACAGACTTGGAATGAGCAGTCTCTGAATTTTAGTTCCTATTGGTTTTCTCAAGATCATAAAGCAAGACTACAGAGACAGGGTTCAAATCCTACCACTTGGAAACTGTGTGCACCTGTTCAGGGCGCCTGGCCTTTCTCCATGTCCTCATACTGAAAGTGGGAGAATAATAGATTCTGTCTCACAGAGTCAGTGTGAGTATTAAATGAATCAATATACGTGAAGTGCTAAGAATAGCAGCTGCACAGTGTAAGTCTTAGATATCTTATTATTATCATTATCATACTTTGTTCATTTTGAGATATCTTTTTTCCCACTTTGACATTCCTGAAGTTTAAAGTTCTTTTTCTGTCATCTTGATATGCAAAACAATGCTGTTTCCTATAATAGATTGTGTTTTAGATTCACTGAAATTCATCACTATTATTGTGAATATTTTCAGCACAACGTTTAATAAACAACAAGGATTCCATATGTTTTGAAAAGAATATATTCTCTCATTCCTAAGTAAGGCCCAGGAGTGAGTCTCTCTAGGCTTTTCAATTTTTGACTTCTGTGCCATCCTGAATATTAGTGTGGGCTTGGCCATGATCAGAATGGAAACTCATATAGCAAATGACTTTAGACGGGTGATCATCTTGTTTCCTTAGCTATTAGGCCAGCTTGGGTAGGTAGATTGCCTCGTTTTGCATCGTTCTGGCAATGAGAGAGAATTTTGTGTCTGTATTGATCAGAATTCTCCAGATAAACAGAATCAAAAGGATGTGCAAATCCAGACAGATTTATTTGAGAAAATAGCTCACATGATTGTGAAAGCTGGCAAGTCTGAAACCCATGGAGGGGGGTTGAGGTAGCAAGTGGGCATCAGGCTGGAGTTGATGTTGCTGTTCAAATCTGAGGACTGCCTGTTGCAGAATTCCCTTTTGCGCAGGCCAGGTCAGACTCTTTCAGACCTTCTGTGGAGGGGATGAAACCCACCTACATTATGTAGAACAATATGCTTTACTCAAAGTCTGTTGATTAACATTTTAACCTCACCTGAAAAACATTTTCACAGAAAAATCCAGAATGTTTGACCACATATCTGGGTTCCATGGTTGAGCTGGGTTGATCCAGATGTTGCACTGCTGAAGACCAGCCTTAGTTGGGGAAGTTCATGCCTTCCCCATTGTGAAGTCTTGGGGGCTAAACTCTACAATGCCATCTTCATTATCCACACAACAACCTTGCACCATATGTAGGAGGTCTTCAGTTTTTAGATGAAGAAATGAAAAATCAGAGTTTCAATGACTTATTAGTAGATAACTCTGGGAAATTACCTGATGCACTGTTCCAATCCAGATTTATCTGCCTTTCATGCTTTTGTAGGGTAGTAGTAATTATTGTTCTTGCTCTTGTTTTATTACTATATTTATCACTTACTCCTACTATGTTTCCAACACTGTTATAAACACTTTTCAAAAATTAAATCTCTTAAATTAACTCCTCATCCTAATCATCCAGTAGATAGATGTCATAAGCAGGTCATTTGAAAGTGTGAAATGCTCTCAGTCAGTTTTGCCTGGGCATAGCCTCTCAGGAGGGCTCCAAGCTGCCTGGTGCTGGTTATTCCTCCCACCTGCCAAACTTCTTCACTGCTGTTTTCACTAAGCAACTGATGAATGTTTGCTCACAGTGGAAATGCCTGTTCTGCCGTGTTTGAACCTCATCTGCTCTTAGCACCTTCTAATGCTTCTGAGATTAACGCCTATTTTAGCTTCTCATGTTTGATGGGACAGGAATCAAGGATGTCATCAACACCCCAGGTTCTCTCAGACCCACCATCCTACATTTTTACTTTGTGTCTTTTCTTTCATTGACCAAGGTTCAACCCTTCTATCCTTGTCACCAAGGATGAGAGATCTGGATCTCATTAACAGGACCTCTGTCTTATTTGCTCAAGGGCCCAAGCCCTGAAGTGATTTGGGAACTGAGAGGTTTTCCTCCTTAGTCTGGCTCCAGTGAGGAGAAAATATTTCAGGCAAAGTTCATTTGTCTTTCTTGTTAGATCAGAGCTAGGTGTTGAGGGAGTCACAAAAACAAACAAACAAAAAACACGGAAGTACTACCCGGATGCCAGGCCAGGCCAGTTGGTGGACAAAGCCTTCATTTCATCCAGAGGATACAGGCCATTATTTGGTGTGAACAAAAAAAGACATGCAGTGGGACAAGGGGAAAATGGGGGCTGGGTTGAGTAAGATGCCTAAGGGGATGGTGACTTTTCTGGGAAATGGAGGATAAACTGGAATTTAAGAAAGCAGAGATAAGGGAGAAGAACAGGCAATGAAGAAAATCAGGGACAGTAAAGTGCAACACGGAGAGAGGTTCTCCACTGTGGTACTGCCAATGAGCTCTCCATCTCACCCCTTTCTCTTCCTTTGGGCCCTCACTTCTGATAATCGTTTACTGTTGTGCTGCTTCTACTTTCTCCTCTCTAGAAGATTCAGTCACGCATCACTTAACAACAAGGACACATTCTAAAAGATGTGTAGTTTATGCTATTTTGTCACTTTGTAAATATTGTAGAGAGCACTAGCACAAATTAAGATGGCTATAATGTCACTAGTCAATATAATTTTATGGGGAGATATATATATATATTTATACATATATATATCTATATATAAAATTAACCCATATATACACAAATATTTTGACCCATATTTTTAACACAAATACTATTAACCCATATATACACAAATTATTAACCCATATGTACACATATGTATATGTGTATATATGTGTGTGTGTATATACATATATATGTGTGTGTGTGGGTGTGTATATATGTATTTTCTGTTGACAAATATATGATTTTCTGTTGACAAAAATGTCATTAAGGGGCTCATGAATGTATTTTCTTTCAGCAGTGAAATATGCTTAAGTCTCTCACATCTTAAAATAATAGCATTCAGAAACTCTAGAATCTTCTTTGCCCCCCACTCCATTTCCCTTCAGACCCCCACTACCCTAGTTCTCATGTTCACTTTGAGAGTCAATCTTCTGGAAGACAATGTGTATCAACTTTGCATTGCTGTGACCAAAAAACCCAACAAAAATAACTTAGAGGAAATTTAGCATGTGCACATGCCTGTAATTCCAGAGGCTCAGGATTACATACCTGGCACTCTAGCCAACATCCCAAGCTCTTATCATCTTCCTTCACAAGCTGACCTCTAGGTCCAGGGCCTTTTTCTTCCAGACCTTTGCTTACTTCATTCCTGTTTATCCTTCAGAACTCAAGCCCAATGCCATTTCCTTGAAGAATCAGTTGGGAAGTGCCCAGTCTGTTCTCCTGTTCTAAATTCCCTCATTGGGCTTTGTTCAGAGTGGACCTCAAAATGCTAATTCAACACTAATTGCAGAATGACCTTTTGGTGCCTCCCCCAGCCCCCAGAATGAGAACTGCCATCCATCTGCTGTCACTTCTGTGTTCTAGAATATGTCCTGCACATTCTGAGCCCTCTGTGACTCCCCAAATGTCCCAGCCCTTCTCTCCTGCCAGTGTCTCCCTTGAAACCACAAATCTGGTCATTGCAATTTCTCACTTCAAAATCTTGGGAGACTTCAAATTATTCACTGTTCCTCTTGTCAGTCTTTTCCACTTGGATGAAGGGGTCCCTAAGGAGGTCATACACAGCAGCTGGTGTCAAGGATGAGGATTTTCTGAAGTTTCATATTTCATTTTAAAAATTCATGGGATGTTTACATTCTAGTCTATAATTCTAACTCCCTAAAATATAAAAATGTGTCCCCATAAAACTCTACAAGGATAACAGGTGCTCCCAGAATTGCCTCCCAGCCAGTGCCAGGTGCTGACATACCATTATGCCCACAATGCACACCTGGAGGTATAAGTAGCCAACTTGAGAAGTGTAAGTTTGATGTCCCATATGGCAGATGCTGCTCATGTTCTGGGCACAATTGCAGTGGACAGGTTCTCTTCTTGATAACAAGTTTCTGCCTCTAGCCCTTACATCTCTCTGCTTATCTGCCTAAAGGCTTTTTCTTCAATGCAGTAAGAGCTTGCTCAGATAGAATGCAGGGCTGCCTTGAAATGGTGGGAACTTACAGTCCCCAGGGCAAAAAGGGTAGGAAAACTAATGTGGGAAAAGAATTGGTGATAACTATCCCACCTTCATTTAGTTGAGTAATTCTGAGCCATATTCTGCATCACACTTGGAAGGATCTCCAGTGGGACAGACTTCAGTTGTTCACATTCTACAATACAGCCTGTATGGACTTCCCTCCCTTCCCTTGTCTATTCCTCTCTACATTTCCTCCCTGTGTGTTCTGGGATCACCACCTGAAGAAATGATCAATGTGTACCCAAGGCCTATTCTCAGCCTCTGACTTTGGGGGAACCCAAACTAAAAGTTGGTACCTGAAGTAGATGTAGGAAATGGCAGTTGAGGATAAAGTTCTTAAATGGAATTGTGCTGGGTAAACAGTGAGCTAGTTTTCTATCACTGTGACAAAATATCTGAGATAATCAACTTAAAAGGAGGAAAGGTTTATGTTGGCTCACAGTTTTAAAGGTTTCAGTCCATGGCGAGTTAGCCCTGTTGTTTTGGGGCCTATAGTGAGGCAGAACATTATGGCAGGGATTACTTGGTGGATCAAAGCTACTCACCAAGCAACCAGGAAGAAGAGAGATGGGTGGGAGTGGGTGGGGGGAACCAGAGTTCCAATACCTTTCAAGGACATAATCCAACTGACATAATTTCCTCCCACTAGGTCCCTCCTCCCAAAGGTTCAACACTTCCCAGTATTGCCACAGGCTGGGACCAAGCCTTAAACACAGGGGGGCCTTTGGGGAACATTCAAGATCCAAACTATGACTGGGTGTGATGGCACATGCCTGTAATCCCAGAAGCTCAGAAGGTTGAGGCAAGAGGATCCCAAGTTCACAACCAGCCTCAGAAATTTAGCAAGGCCCCTAGCAACTTAATGAGATCCTGACTCTAAATAAAAAAGGGAGGCGGTTAACAATTAGTTAAGTGCCACTGGGTTCAATCCCTGGTATCAGAAAAAAAAAATTCACTCTATAGCAGGTGGAAACACCACTTCGTAAGTGGCATACAGGGTAGTAAGAAGTACTGACAGAAAGTGTGTGCTGGCTTGAGACGAGATACAAATGTAGAGGACTATAGCAGCTCATGCAACAACTCTAGCATGTAAAAGGCTAGAGGAGGGGGATGACAATGACTGTGGAGTTGGCTGGTTTTGTTCACCACACTAGGAATATTGACAATGGAGAATGATGGATTCAAGTTTACCAACTCTCAACTCAGGGTAAGAATCAGTACAGCAGGTCTCCATGGCAGTATTAAAAGAGCATCTCATCTCCTACTTCCATGGAACAGCCTGAGCTAAAAATGTAGTCAGGATTTGATCATAAGGGTGAAGTTACCTGAGATTGAATGCACAGCCCCTGTGAATTCCCCCATGTTAAAGTTTGAGCCCTGATGTGGAAGGATGGAACCCTAAGACTTAGGATGACTCATCAGGTGGGTCTTCCAGGAAGACTAGGTCAAGACATAGTTAGACACGCTGGAGATGTGTAGGGGGTACTGCCTGTGGACAAAGAGGGGGAATTAAGCAGAAATGGGTAGAGGGAGGCTTCAGTTATTATGCAATCTGACATTGATACAAGGAGAGGGAGGAGGAAGTTGGGCCAGGCAGGAAGATCCTCAGACTGCAGGCAGCTCAGAAATCTCTCGGTGATCCCAGTTGCGGCTCCAGCCCTAGACCGATCCTAGAGGAGCCTATTATATCCAGGCATTGTCCCGGCACTCCTGTAAAACCTGTGGATTTGCTTTCAAATCACCTCCTGCTGGAAACTTAACTTCATCCCTTGGGACTGGTTCTGCCATGGTAGGAGAACATTGCAGAGGTGTTTAAGTAAGTGGCAGTAGGTCATCAAGCAAGTTGCTGATCCAGGGATTGATTCCAAGTTATCTGCTCCACGACACACTTCCTTAATCACTGACCTATATGACATTGAAGTAGTGTTGCTGTTAGATACGTTGAGCAAACCCTGCAGGGCTGGACTCTCGCTAATATAATAGTAGAGGTAGGATGTACTTGAAGTTTTGGCTGTACCTGGGACAAGGCCAAAAGCCACAAGAGTCCAGACTGACTCCTGATGGGGATGAGAACCACAAGAAATGACAAATTTCATAGTTGTATTATTCAGGTTTTCATCACTGTGACCAAAATATCTGACAAGAACAGCTTAGAGGAGGAATTTGTTTTGCCTCACAATTTTAGAGAGAATTCAGTCCATGGCAAGATGGTTCTAAGGCAGAAGCATCCAGGTGGAAGAGTGTGGTGAAGGAAAACTGTTCAGTTCATGTTAACTGGGAAGGAGGGAGAAAGAGGGGGCGGGGAATGGACTGGGGAGAAGAAAAGCCCTTGCAGGGCATGCCTCAGTGACCTACTTCCTCCAGCTAGGTCCCACCTCACTGTAATCCATTTAGGTATCAATAGATTAATCTACTAAATGGATTAGTCCACTGATGAGGTCCGATTCCCATGATTCAATGGTTGTTTAAAAACCCAACATCCGGGGATCATGCTTTCAACAAATGAGCTTTTGTGGGGGGACATTCCAGATCCAAACATCTACAGTGGGCAAACTGAGGCCATCAGCAAAGGGGGAAATGCAGAGCTCTGTGAGCTCAAGGTGGTCTTTCCCAATCCTCTGGCTTATAGCAATGGCCATAATCAGTTCCAAGAGCCCTGTTGCAACCCCATGCCATTTCCCCTAGTTTGAAGACAGCATTGTGCTCCCAGAGCCAGGATACTGTGTTGTTCCTGCACACTCTTTTTTAGGACAAAACTGAGTTTTACTTCTGAGGTGATATCCTGTTGAGCTGTTGGCTAAGTTGCCCCCTCTATGTGGTAAGACAGGGCACCTCTGCAGTGGTCCCCAGATGGAGGCAATTGAGCAAACAAGGTGAAGTTCTGAGCATAACTGGTCTCATGATGGCTTCTGACTACTAAGGTTAGGCTGCATTTTCATCCTGGATATTTTAAAAACGAAGCAGTCCCCATCCACGTACATGCACATACCCTGCCAAGAAGGATAACAGTATACCTGCATTTCTCACACTATAGTCTTCAGATTATCAACATCAGAAAGACATAGGATGTACTTTTAAAATGCATGCTCCTAGGCCCACACCAGACTTACTGGGATTCTTGAAGACTGCATCTGGTCATCTGCATTCAGAACATTCTCCAGGTGACTCTCATACATTCCAGAATATGATTATAGCTATGTGAGGAGACTCAGAATGTCAGCACCAAAGGGATACTAAAGGATCATCCAGCTAAATGCCTCCATTTTACAGACAAAGGAACTGAGTGCTTGAGATGTAGTATGACCTCTCTGAGCTCATGTTTCTTGATTACTAGTCCAGTGCATACAACAGAATCTTTTTAGTTATTAACATGTTAATGTATTGATTGACTTTTCATATAATTTCCCCCAACACAGGGATGGCCAAATAACCTAAACTATCATCATTACTCCCTCCAAGGTATCACATGGGCTGAATGAAGTGGGCATGGGTCCCAGATTTAGCAAATCAAAATACAAAACTGCTAGTTCAATTCAAATTTCAGATAAACAATAGGGCTGGGGCTGTAACCCAGTGATAGAGTGCCCACCTCCCATGTGTGAAGCACTGGGTTCCATCCTCAGCACCACATAAAAATAAATAAAGATATTGTGTCCAACTACAACTAAAAAATAGTAAAAAAAAAAAAAGATAAATAATAGAAAATGTTTTAGTGTAGTATATTCCAAATATTATGTGGGATATACTCATGTTATAAAATTATTCATTATTTATATAAAATTGAAGTTCACTAGGAATTCTTAATTTTTATTTACTAAATCTGGCAATTTTAGTTGAAGGAAGTTAGTATTCCTCTTAATGCCATGAGAGAGCTTTGACCATCTCCTCCCAGGACTGTCCTTGAGACTGTCTTTTGAAGGGGTCTAAGCTTGAGATGCTATAACAGAATACTATAAATTAGTATATCTAGGTAGTTAAAAAAAACAAACATTTATTTCTCTCAGTTCTGGAGGCTGGTAAGTCCAAGACTAAGAAACATCAATGGACCCTGTGTCTGGCACTGGCCAGTTTCCTAATTTGCAGATGGCTCTCTTTTCCTTGTGTCCTCACAGAGTGGAGAGATGGATCTTTTAAATTTCATCTCTTCCTCTTTTAATGCAGACATTAATCCCACACTAAGAACCTCACTTCCTGACCTCACCTATAACTATTTACCCTTTAAAGTCCCCATCATCATTCTCAAGTTTAGGGTTTTGATTTATGTATTTTGCGGGGAAGCTAACATTCAACCTATAGCAGAATGCAAACATCCAATCAAACATAAATGAAGGAAGAAAGCAAGGAGGATGGGGAAATAAAATCAACTCACTATGAAAGAGAAAGAAATTCTAAGAAGCAGAGAGGTGGGGGAGCTGGGGAGTGGGAAGCAGCACAGGGTCT